TTCTGACTGTTCATAGCACTCTTTTTTCTTGACATACAAAACAAAATCAAACTTTAGAGGAATTTAGGGAATAATCGTGTTGAATGATGGGAAAAGACCATTTAAGTACCTTATTTGAAACAAGAGAAGGGCTTGAGCTTTTTTTTTTTTTTTTTAATTAAGTTTATTGGGGTAACATTGGTTAATATAATCATATAATTTTCAGGTGTACGTTATCATTTGACATCTGTATATTCTATTGTGCTGAACTTTTGATCTTGAACTGATTTTCACTGTTCACATTCCTTGATTTTAAGACTTATCTAGCAGTCAGCATGAGACTCCCCTTGCAAAAATGGGCAGTGAATTTAAACCACCTTATCCCCAAATTAGGTGCATGCATAATTTTCTAAAGAGCTAATTTCTTCATCATTTTATTTAAAAATCAGTGCATTAATTGAGTAAAAATTTAGAGATAGGTGTACTGCTATGATTAGTTTGCTAAAGAGAATAAAAATGTGTATTGTAAGACATTAATTGTGCATTAAACTAAGGCAGACAATAAATGTTTAATCAATGAGTGAAAAAAAGCCTTATCTAGCAAGCTATAGCCATCAAGACAGTGTAGTATTGGCATAAAGATAGATAAACAGATCAATAAAATAGAATAGACAGTTCAGAAATAGACCTATATGGACAACTGATTGTCAACAAATATGCAACATCCATTAGAGAAAGAACAGTCTTTTCAAAAAATGGTGCTAGAACAACTGGATATCCATATACAAGAAACAGAACTTCAATTCCTACTTTATACTATGTACAAAAATCAATTTAAAATGGACCATAGGCCGAAATGTAAAACCTTAACCTATAAAACTTCTAATCTTAGGCAAAGATATCCTAGATATAAAACCAAAAGCACAATCTATAGAGGAAAAATTTGATGTTAGACTTCATCAAAATTAAGAATTCCTGTCTTTGAAAAAAATTACATCTATATATAAAAGACTCTCAAAACTCAAAATTAGGATAAGAACCTAATGAAAAATGGGCAAAAGATTGAAACAAGTGTGTCATCAGATTGCAAATAAACACTTGAAAAGGTGCATGGCATCATCTGTCATTAGGAAAATGCAAATTAAAACCACAGCAAGATACCATTCTGCATCTACTAGAATGTCTAACATCCCAAAAGTTGGGCTTACCAAGTGCTGGTGAGGATGTGGAGGAACTGGGCATTCCGTATGCTGCTGGCGATAATGTTGCAAACATTTTGGAAAAGAGTCTGTCAGCTTCTTAAAAAATTAAACATGCATCTATCATATGACTGAGCCATTTTTTAATGCCTAGATATTCTATGTGCTATGGTCACAAAATGAAAACAACCCACATGTCCATCAACAGATGAATGAATAAACCATTGTGGTATATCCGCACAATGAAATACTACTTAGTGATAAACAGGAATGAATCAATGAGAGAAGCAACAACATGGATGAATCCCAATGTACTTAAGCTCAGTGTAAGAAGAAAGAGAAAGACAGAGAGTATGAGTTCAGTTATAAGCAATTCTAGAAATGCAAACTAATCTATAATAACAGAAAGTTATTAAAGATTGCCTCAGGACTCAGTTGGGGGAAAAATATGGGGTGGGATTATTCAATATTGATTAAACAATCAAATTATATATGTATATAAATAAGTGTATATATAATTATATATTCATACAGTTATACACAACATGTACATTATATAATATATTCATATAGTTAAGTGCTCCCTACATGGTAGATATCATTGCTAAGTCTTCTTATGAGAAGGAGAAAAGGAGATTATTCTATAAGACTTTTAATCTCATTTACTTTTATAAATCCACCCTAGCCCTAGAACAATCAGTTTTGAAACATTGTTAGTTTGAATAGTTTATAAAATATCTAGGAAACGACCTTTATATGTATATAAATACATATTTAATTTTCCTGAGAACCTTGAAACATAGGTATTGTCAATACCATTTTACACTCCAAGAAACTGAGTCTCAGAGAGATCACGTGACTTTTTCATGTCATTCAACCTATCAGGGGAGGATCTAGTATTTTCACTCAGGTCTGCCCGACGCTAGTTGATCTCTAAGTCAACTTCCATGGTATTTCTAGGTGTCGGCAAAGCACTTACCCCATTCTCTGATCACCATGTTGTAGCTAAAATAATGATATGTTGTTTGTATGATTGTTCTCTTAGGTTAACTTACAACTGGTTGAGGCATTATATCCCAAACGTTCGTAAACAATTCTGTATCTTCCTGGAAGAAAAGGGTATTTGCCTAGAAAACCAAGTCTGGATGGTTGGCAGTGGCTGCCCAGTCTTTTGCAGAGAAGAATTTTGGAGGTGTATCTGGGTTGAGAAGAAAAAGAGTATGAAATCTACTAGCAATTTCTATGAGAGACTGGTGGAAGGAGGGTCAGGAGTGGCAGGGCATGCCAATTATAATAGATGCTCTAAGACCTTAAACAACTGACATGTTGTTCTAAGAGAACTTCTCGGTTCAATATTTTGCATAATGACTTTCAAGAAGACATTGAGGACATGCTAATGAATCCCATACATGACAAAAAACTGGGAGAGGGAAACAATATTTCAGATGTCAGAGTCTAAATTAAATTATTTTAACAGACTGAAATGCAGGGCCTAAATGAAACAAAAGTCAACAAAGAAGGAATGTAAATTCCTATAACAAAGGTTAAAATGATAATAATAGAGCAAGGGTATAAGAATATGAATGGAGAGCTCTGTCTTGAAGACAGTTCATGTGAAAAATATTTAGGCTTTTATTAATCCTATGGGCCAACAACATGATGTGACTGCATTAATAAAAGAAAATCAGAAAGGTCAAAGGACGTACACATCCCATCAAACTCTCTTAACTCTAGTGCTTTCTGTGGTAATGGAAATGTTCTTTATCTCCACTATCCAATACGGTAGCCACTTGCTACTTGGGGCTATTGAGTACTTGAAATGTAGATAGTGAGGAATTGAATTTTGAATTATATTCCATTTTAATTAATTTAAATTTAAATGGCCATTTGTGTGTGGCTAGTGGCTACCACATTGGATAACACAACCTTAGACAAATCACCTCTGTTTCTGGACCCCGGGCATCTAGTAGTGCTGGCTCGCAATTGTGAATCAGGGTTTTAGAAAGCTATTTAGCTTAGAGAAGATGCTTTGGGGAGAGTGAGTTCTGTCCTCAAATATCCTCAAGTATCTATCTCCTAAGGAAGAGGGTCAGACTTCCTGGTGGCCCTGGAGGGCAGGACCAGGACAGTGGGTGAAAACCAAAAGGGGAAGGTTTCTTTCTGATACACAAATGAATTTGTGGCAAATAGTGCAAATGCTGCCTCTTAGGTCCTCAGCTTTATCACCTATAAAATAAGGGCAGTCATCTAAGTAAACCATCCATAAAACTCCTTCCAGCTCTAAAACCTGCGGTTTTATATATTGTAGTATTTAAAAAAATATTTTTACTTAATTGACATGAATATAGAATAAGAGAATCTCTTTTATAATAATTTTTGGAATTAATTATGGAAGAAAGTTTACCTTCCCTATTTGTGTCTGTGAAGGTTTTGCCAGGAAACAGATGCACACTCAAACTGGATAATCGAGGAGAGGTTCATATAGGAAATACTTACAAAGTGAACAGGGTTTGGGTAAACCCCAAAAGATGGTGGTGTGGGCCATAATGAGCAAGAGTGTGGAGCTGTTGTCACCCACGTACAGCCAACTCACAGAGACAAGGGCAAAGACCTTACTCATCTCCCGCTCTCAGACTCCTACTAGCACCTCCTCCTGTTGGCCAGACCCGAATTAAAGCAAGTGAGCAAGGAAGGCTGTCGTTACCGTCCTTTCAGGACTCCCAGGACACAGAGAGAGGTGGAGAAAGGTTGAGTCTGGATCTGGAGGAATAAAAAGATATCAGCGCAGGCTACCTGTCTTAGTCAAGCTGAGCTGCTATAACGAAATGCCATAGGCTGGGTGGCTTAAATGGCAAACACTTATTTCTCCATTCTAGAGGCTTTAAAGTCTAAGATCAAGGTGCCAACATATCTGGTGTCTGGTGAGAGTCTGCTTCCTGGCCTGTAGACAGCCTCCTTCTTGCTATATTCTCACATGGCCAACAGAGGGAGCTCCTGTCTCTTTCTCTTATAAAACACTAATCCCGTTCACTGGGACTCCACTCTCATCACTTCATACTATTTCCAGCCTCACTGGCCTTTCTGTTTCTCAACCATCACATATTCCTCCTTGTCTCGGCCATTTGAATATCCTGGTCCTTCTATTTGGAAAGCTCTTCCTTCAAGCAACGGAAGTGGGGATGCTGGCAGTGATTAGGTACATCTCCTTCACTTCTGTATTCTTGAGATGCTTAGGGTATGGCAGAAATCCAAGAGGGAAAGTAAAGAAATGAGCTAATTACATGGGGAACAACATCTATTTCTTAATCCCTCTCCTGCCCCAAAAGCTCTGCCCTCCACCTCCAACCTGTGCTCACGTGTCTCCTTTGCATCATTCAGATCTTGCGGTTCTCAACTTAAGTTTCGCCACCTCATGGAAGCCTTCCCTGACCAGCGTCGCTAAAACAGCCCTCAAAATGACTCCGCAGCCCCAGACACAACTTACTATCTTATCCTACTTATCATGTCCATATCATTTCTCAGGACCTGCAATTATTTATTCATTTGTTGACATATTTATTGCCTATGTCCCCCGCCCCTTGTCCTGAATATAAAGACTCTTAAGGGCAGGCACTGCATGTATCTGTTCTCTCTAACTAGAATATTGTGAAGCCGGCAACATGCACGTGGAAAACGGCAATTATTACTAAAGTTGCCAGGAGCCAGGGGTGTACATGTTTTCCAAAAACTTCAATCAGATTTCCCATCGGGGGTAAATGACTCTGAGGCTTATATCTCACAATACTTAGAAACATCCTACCTAAACAAGTAAAAGACAGATGAGACATCAGGCAGATTTTTATTATTAGAATACAGACTTTTATTAGAACAAGCATTTCTCATAGCTGTAAGCGATACGTTAGACTTCATCAAGCTAACTCCCACTTTCTCTGCCACAGGAAGGCCAAAGAGAGAAAGCCTCTTATGCATATATAGGATCAGCAGAGCAAAGTATTTCTGTAAGTGATTCATTGAGGCTATAAATGTTTGCAAATTTTAAGGCACTGGAGGGTGAAGGGCATGTGAGGTGGGACAGGACTCAGATAAAAGATTTCCAACATACCCTGCCCTGCCCGACTATCTCTCATTTCCTTCCTCAGTTTCCATGGCAGGCACCCAGGCACAAGAAGGGAGAATACAGCATATTCATTATCCTCATTCAGACTCCAAATGATCCAAAAAATTTCACAGCTCTACTGCCACCACAACTTATTAGAAGATAAATTACATGTTATCAACTTGCCATGGCACTTCATGTAAATTATATCTCAATAAACCAGATTTTTACGAACACCTTTATACTTTGTGAACTTCAAAAAGCCACTGACATGAACCACAAGAGAACTGCCTAATTTGTTGAAAGTGTTTTTGCTGTGACCTCAAGGGCCGACCACATGGGAAGAAATTACTTTTTAATACCTAGCGGACAGGACACGCCGGTGCCCCCGAGACCACAGTACCCGTCGGGGGTCTTGCTCAGGTACTGCTGGTGGTAATCCTCCGCGTAGTAGAAAGCTTGTCCCTCCCGGATGTCGGTCGTGATCTGCCCGTAGCCATGCTCTGACAGAACCTGTGGAGAGAAAGGAGCCATCAGGACCTGATCCCGGGCCGAGATGGTCCCGAGACAAAGGGACGACGACGTCGGGCTGTGAGGGAGGCTGACAGGGTGGCTCGGGATGTGCGGTGGGTCCTCGCGGGCCTGCGCTCTGCCACTTCCCAGCTGGGTCACTCTGGGCGAGCTCTTACCTCCTGCGCCTCGGGTGACTGGCGTTTGAAATGAGCTTTTCTGACTGTGCTTTTCGCTCTACCCATCACACCACCACTGTCCCGGTGTGTGCAGGGAGCCCTGGCTTGGCCCTGAGGGTCCCTGTGGCACGGCTCGGTCCTCTACCAGGGGGAGCAGTGGGGCCCCAGGGAAGAGTGGGGTCTCTGAGAGCACCGGAGCAGGGCTGTGGTGGGAGGAGATGAGGGGACCCGGCAGGCCAGGGCGGGGAGGGCCACAGCACCACCCCGTGCTGTCCCCTCTGCCACCAGGGACCGGCCTCCTGCCATCTCTCAGGCGGGACAGAGAGATGGCAGGAGGCCTGTTCCTGGTGGCAGAGGGGACATTTACATATTTGCATGCTGTGGATCTCGTGACTGGGGACCCCGCCAGGATGCCCTGGGGAGCAGGGTCAGGGGAAGACGTGGCCTGAGGGCCTGTGTCAGTTCATCACCACCCTCTGTGACCTAGTTGAAGGCCTGGTGGCATCTGCTGCCAGGGAAAGAAACAGACACGTAAACACAAGTTGGGGGAGGAGAGCGGAGCTATTTGGGGCAGGAGACGGATTAAGAAATAGACATTGTTCCCCACGGATCTCAGCCCGTTTCCTTTCCCTTTTGGGCTTCAGCTGTGCCCTAGTTCTTCGCTGTCCCGGGCTGCCTGCAGTGTTCGAGCACAAGGCTGCAGAGACCCGTTCCCAGAGTCACTGATTCCATTTCGGACAGAGTGCAAGGTGGGGCCTGGGACCTGTGTTTCCGTAAGGCAACTGAGCAGTCTCTGAGTATCCTTTGGTCCAATTAAAAGGAAGTCCTTATGTCTGCAGAGTGCTGGGAATCTAATATTAATATTCAGCATGATTCACCGCCACAGTCTTTTTCCCCCCGAGAACGTCTATCTTCTTCCTGCGTCTCTGAGCCAGAACGAGGCAGACTGAGGATCTGACAAGCAGGCTGGGACGGTGAGGGACAGGATCCTCGCCAAGGTGGGTGGGTTGGACCCTGCAGCTCAGAAGCAGCCAGTTTCCTTACAGGGGTTAGAAATGACAACGAGGAGCCATTCTGACTTCAGTTTTGACACTTTTTTGTAAACTAGCAATTATCGAGGGTTTACCATATGCCACACTCTGCACAAAGACTTCACAATGTTAATTTTAGCCTCACAACAGCCATATGAAGGAAGTACTATTATTATCATCCATCTTTAAAAGTATATGTCAGATATTGTGTCCTGATCCCTGACATTCTCAGCTCACCACAGTATTGCATAGGCTGAGAGCTTGGAAACTACATTTCCCACATTCTATTGCCAGCAGCACTCCAGTTTAGATGCCACCAATGAGAGAAGCACACACGAAATCTGGCAGGCTAAATCAAAGGAGAAGCCATTATTCGCAAGGTGCAGCTGTGAGGGTGGGCGCAGGTATCTGCTGAGAGCAGAGCTGAGACTGCCGGCTCCTCCTGAAAACTGTCACTCTCAAGCTGCAGGCAATTAAAGTCATCGGCAACGATTTCCAGCTATTTCTGTAACTTCTTGGTATCCTGAAATCCAGTGCTGCTATTCCCTAACCCTCACGCCAACAGCCTTTCCAATGATTCTGGAAGCAGCAAATTCCCTTTGTAAAGCCCACCCTGCTTGAAATCCCAGCGAAGACAGCATTGGGGGCCAGAACTGTTTTCAGGAAGCGGAACCTCAATGAGAATGAGAACCTGGGATTGGTTAACTGTTGGTTAACTGTCCTTGTTTGTTCTGAGTGAGAAATGACCTCATTGTGATGGAAACGGATCAGTGCCCGCAGTGTACGGTGACAACGCATTTACTTAAATTATCGCCAGTATTTGCCTGTGAGGAAATTCCACTGAAGGAAGGCTTTGGGACTCTAGGTGGCTGTGGCAGTGGAATATTCCCATGAAGATGATATGCATGACATCTGTGGGTTGTGCTAGCCAAGAGCTTGTAGAAAGAAAAAGGTACAAGGTGAGGACTTGACATTCTTGGCCCAAGTTCAGAGAGCCAGAGAATGTCTCGGAATGACTTAATCTCTTGCTTCTTGTAGCTGTGTCCATATACCAAATAAAAGGTTGGCTCCAGAGGGTCCCAGATTGACAAGTGCAGTTCACAGCTTCACTAGGTACGAAGCCCAGGGATATCCTCAGAGAGCTCGTCCATCACCCCGTCCCAGACACGCCCACTGAGACATGCTCCCCTCTGCTCTATCTGAGCCGCTCTGTGTGGGGGGCACACAAGTCTCCCACACTCCGAAGCCATCTCAGAGTTTGACCTCAGCCCTCCCCTTTCTGGTCACACAGAATGGGAGCGGCCCGCTGTCGAGATCTTCCACCCTTCCCCGTCCCCCAGGGCAAGGCCCGGCTCCCAGGTCTGCAGATGTCTCTGCTCCGTCACCTCACCCGGGCTCTGTCCTCTCTGAGCACGACCCCTCACACACTGCTCACCCTGACCTCTCTTTCACAGATGACCGTCCTTTATGGACAAGGAGAGCCTTCTCAGAAAGCTTCTCTACCAGAGGCAGGGAGGCCAGCGCCAGTCAATGCTACTGCCCGGGCTCCCTCCTCCTCTCCATACCAGGCCTCACTGAGCCACCCACGGACCACCCCGAGGGGCAGCTTCCCTTTTGGGGAGCAGAGGGAAGGGAGGCGTGAGGATGGGGGCCCAGGCAGTACCAGGCCTCTGCCACAAGATGGCAGACACTTCACTTTCATTTGAGAGGAGAAAACCAAGAATTAACAGTGAAGAAAACCTACAGCAGACAGCTATGCTGCCCTCCTCCAACTCCCCTTCCCCTGGGACATTTTGGCCGGTCTTGTCAGGGTGGCAGACACAGGCGACAGCCATGAGGCCTGTGGCCCACATTGCCCCCTCTGCACTGGGCCAGCCAGCCTCCAGGCTGAGACCGTCACACACCGGCCATGGCTGTCCTCAACCCTTGCTCTGCAACTGAGGGAGAGGGGGACACAAACGTGCAAAAAAATCCGGGTATGAAAGAAGAGGAAGTTGGAGAACGCAAAGTCCTACCTGGTCTCTACTTTTCCTTCTTCCCCACAGGCTCTGCTTTCTCACTTCACCAAAGCAAGTCACTCCCCTCAGCCACCTCGGAGGGCCTGCTTCCTCCGAGAGTCCTTGCTGGACACAGGCAGCTGGATGCAGTGCAAGGGATTCCCCAGCGACGGCCTTGGCCTGTCTATTTCTTTGTTTACCGTGACTGCAAACTGTGATGGTCAGTTTTGCAGTTGTCCGCCGCTTCCAGTGTGGATGCCCTCTGTGTGCTGGGCCAAGCGACGGAATTAAACAGACCGTGAGATCGTCCTGGGAGCGCGCACATGCTGGTGTCAGCACCTCCCGAACCACAGAGCGGAAGCCTGTGCTGGATCCCTGGGGAGAAACCGCCAGCCCTTCCCTGCTGGGTCCCACTCCGCCTCCACGTCCTCATCCTCCTCGCTCTTTTCTTTATCCTTCTCGCTGAGTAGTTTTCTTGGGTCGTGTTGAACTTCATCTCCTGAACATTGCACTCCCTTACAACCTCCGAGGAATGTTCTTTCCTCTCTTCCCTAAACATGAACTCTTGCCCATCTCTCAGCACCCAGATCAAACATCCTCACCTCTATGAAACCTTTCCCGATTCTCTAAGGCAGAAGTTACTCCATCTGCCCATCTCTCAGCACCCAGATCAAACGTCCTCACCTTTCCCGATTCTCTAAGGCAGAAGTTACTCCATCATCTACGCTCCTGCAGTCCGACTACTCCTTATAGTGTTCGTGACATTGCATTAGAACTATCCTTTGTTTCTCTGAGCCACTTCCACTGTCCTCTGGCAAGACACACACTAGACTGCGTGCTCCTTGCGTGCGGACTGTCTTGCTTCTCTACCTCATCTCAGTGCTTAACATCTAAGAAATGAATGAATGAATTTAAAAAAGAACAGTTGCGTCTTGGGATCTCTTGGAGATTCTCTTAACCTTTGGGGCTTCTGTCTAGGTCCCTGCCAGTGTTTCCTCGTGGACCTGGGAAGCGGGGGCTCAGGGACCAGGGCGCTCAGGCCATCACTTTCCTTGCCACAGGCCCCTGGCCAATTCCATGAGTGGATTTACTCTTTAGACACAGCATTGCAGAAGCTGTGTCTGTGCAGGGAGGACCAACTATCTTCCACAGAAGGTGGCCTCAGCATCACCCACAGCTCCTGAAAAAGCCCATTCACTCTTCTGGGGGGCGAGTGGGATGATGGGGAGGTGGAGAAGCAGGAGGAAGTGGGAGATGAAGACTGGGCCCCCAAGTCCATGGGTCAGTTTGGCCCTATGCAAGCTGTGCAGGTGCTGGCAGGTGGACCTCAGTCTTCTGACACCTCTGCTACACCATCACCATACACCAGGGGCCCCGATCAATTATGGGGGGACATGAGTAATTTGTTACTGATAATGGCTAACATATCAATGTTTGCGAGTAACTTACTTTTCCTTAAGGAATTAGAGCAGATGGAAG